ATTCCTCGTGGGACTCCAATTGTGCCTAAATAGACATGAGAGTTGAAAGACCCATAAGGGGCTTCTCTCACTTTATGATGTCTAATTATTTTTTTTCCCTTCTGGTTGACGAAATGCCAGGGTGAAAGGGATAGTCAATTGGACTAAAGTACAAGTGCCACTCCAGTTATTCAGCAGAGTGTCCAGTAAAGGTCCACCACAACACCACCACACATCCGCTCAGGGATGAACAAGGGCTGACTGATTGATAAGCTCTTGAAAATTCTTAAGCTCACTGCATCCTTTCAGGTCTCCAAGGAATGCTAAGTTTCCTCCCTGCTGTGAGAGACACTAAGTGAACTTAATGTTGGGAGACGGAAGCTGGATGGCCCTTGGGGGCTGATCCGCAGGGACTTTGGGATATAGCAGAGAGAGCTTGGCATGACTTATTACTCCAGGCCGTAGAGTCCTGGAAAAGAGCTATCATGCAGCCTACACCTGGTTGACTGGAGGACCACATTAGTGGAAGGGGGACAATCTGGGCCTCTGGCCTGCCATGTGCACAAGCATAACAATTGCTTTTGTTTAATGTGCAGATAGAATATTTGATCCATTTTAACCAGGCATTTGCATCTTGGTATCCTCTCTTAATTGCTAAAGTTTGTTTTAAGTCTTTAACTTTTATGGTCCTCTAGTAAAATGATTGTATGGTTTTAGGGAAATTACAAAAACCAGTTGGGGCAGTCCATCCTTGCTCTTTAGTGGTCCACAGAACGTTGGACCAACTATGGCATGAAAGCTGTACATCGGGGGGGCAACACTCCTGATTGGCACTGGGGTCTTTATCGAAATGTCCCCGGATTAAATGGTCCTAGTTCACTAATGCCTAGTCTGAGGAGAGTCAGGAGGGACAGAAGTACTTTTCTGAAGTAGAAAGCTGTCTTTGACTTGGAAATTGACTTGGTTATATTAATAACTAGATGGTCAGCAACAGAATGAAGAAAGAAGAAAGAGTAATAGAATAGATTAAAAGAGTTAAATTTTTCTTAGCTTTAGTTTGGTAGGGTTTTCCCCTGGGACTATGGCCCACGACTCTGGAGGGGGTGCAGCTTTCTTGACTCCGGTGTGATGAGTCCATCCTTTTTTTGCTGTACGAACAGCAGTCTTGGTTAGCAGCACAAGGTAGGGTCCTTCCCAGGCTGGCTCGAGTTTTTCTTCTTTCCACCTTTCGATGAGAACGTGATCTTCAGGCTGGTGCTGGTTTACTGGAAATTCTAGGGGTGGCACATGTGCTAAAAGACTTTTAGTTTTTTTTTTTGTGTGTGAGTTTAAATGTGGGGACTTTATAGTCCTTAGTGCCTTTTTACTGAGAAATTTCCTTTAGCGCCTATTTTTATTAGTTTTTAAACCAAAGAAAGCCAAATACCATTTTACATTTAGCAATGCTTATCGTATGATTTTTTATACCAGATAAGTTAAATGTTATCTTTATATTAGGGTGTTATTAATGTTAAACCTAATTTTAATAAAACCTTGTAGACATATTTATTTAATTTTTAATGTTTGACCATAAGGTAAGATTTTGTAGACTCTTTTTAACCTTTTATAATTTTTGCTAAAGAGCAGGTTGGTGCTTTAAGAAAAACCTGTTATGCTTTTACTTTAAT